TCCATAAAAACATACAAGAAAACTCCTTTACTGTGTGGGTGACAGCTGGAATAAGCTTCTTAGAGAAGTTGGAGTCATCTTCTCTGGAGATATTCAGAACTTAACTGGATGTTGTAGAGAACCTACTTTAGCAAGAGGATTGAAATTATGATTCCCTAAGGTTCCTTCCAGTCCCTACAGTTTTGTGAATCTGTGTGAAGAGATGTCATTCAGAAGGACCTGGGCAGGCTTAAAAACCTGGTTCATGTGAGTCTAGTGACATTCAACAAGGTCAACTACAAGGTGTTGAACTTGGTTCAGAGTGATACCAGATGTGTACCGGTTGGGAGAAGAACTCAATTGAGAGCAATCCTGCAGAGAAAGATTTAAGCCCTGGTGGAAAAAAAAAAAAAGCTGGGCATTAGCCAGCAGTGCACAATTTCTGCCCAGGAGGCCATGTGGGCTGCATCAGAATATGGATGGCTAGTAGGATGAGGGAGGTGACTGTCCCTTTCCTCTCTGCCCTCAAAAGGTCCCCTTTGGAGTACCGCACTCAGGCCTGCGGCCCCCAGCAAAAGAAAAGATGCAGAGCTGTTCCAGAGGGTCCAGAGAAGGGCTATGAAGATGATGAGAAGGATGGAGGACCTGTCTTATGAAGAAGGGCTGGGAGAGCTGGGCTTGTTTAGTCTGGAGAAGAGAAGGCTCTGGGGAGACCTCACAGCAGCCTTCCAGTACTTGAGGGGATCTTTTAAACAGGATGGAGACTTGCATTTTACGCAATCTGATAGTAACAGGACAAGGGGGGAATGACTGTAAATCAGAAGACTGGAGGGTTAGGTTATATGTTAGGAAGATAATTCTTTACTCATAGGGATGTGAGGCACTGGAATGAGTTGGCCAGTGAAGCTTTTGGTGGCCCATTCCAGGAAGCATGAAGGCCAGGTTGGATGGGACTCTGGGCCAGCCTGATCTAGTAGGTGACATCTCTGCTCATGTCAGAGGGTGGAACTAGCTGATCTTTAAGATTCCTTCCAACCTGAGCTGTTCTATGGAGATCTATCACAGCAATATTGAAAAGGAAAGTAAGACCAATGTAGTTCACTACACAGTTCACTGACCTATATTAATACTGTAATGTATATAAACTTGATTTTTACTGGATGCACCATCCAGTAACTACTCTGGCTAAAATTCAAACACAAACCACATGTGTGCAGTTTTGAAGGAAAAAAATCAGTCTCCCTATGAATTCCTGTTGCCACATTCATAAGTGAAGCTGGGACTTCCTCATTTCTATCATACAGAACACTATTGGCTTCCAGAATCATCTGCTTTCTGAAATAACCTTCTAAATGGCTGTGCATTTATGTATGTGAGCTCTTGGAATTTTCTTTTGAGAGCAGTGGGCACTTCTGATATGTTTCCCTGTAGCCTACTGATCTTCAGGAATGTATTTAGACTTTACTAAACTTTATGAGGCATACCAAAAGAAAACAAGTCTCAAATACTCACAGTTTCTCAAATGCTTAAATCAAAGTAATCGGAGTTCATTCTCTCTGCTGCAGTGGTGATTAGTTCCATGTCATATTGCACATCTGATCTACATTTTGGCTTCAACTGCCTTTCTCTAGGTACAGATTTATTCTTTTTAAAATGATAAGAACAAAACAAAGAAGAAAAGCCCCATATTTTTATTTACTGTCTTTTCACTTTTGCTTAGTTTAAAAAAAAGAATAATTCTAGAGTATATATAGCATCAGTACATAGTCATTCAAATAGTTTGACCCACTCAGAATGGCACTTTGCATTCTGGAGCAGGAGAGAAGCTATTGGCTGTGTTGGGAATCTATTATTTGCAACCATTGTGATTAGAGCATATGAGAGAGGTGCCTGGTATATGATAAAATTCTGCAACACAGGACTGATTCTGAGAAAGCTGAAAGACTTACAGTATCATGTGCCAAGAGTATAATCTGGTTAGCTTTGAAGCATTGGTTTAGAAAGTTTTAGCTCACACTGGGCTGGTTTAAGATTGTGCTAGCCTGACTTACCTTTTATTTGAAAACAGTTAACCTCTACCAAGAACACTTTTTTTCTAGTGTGATCTGACTGAAAAAAATCAGTCTTGATGGGAAGGATAACTGGAAGAAAATTCAAGTATGTAAAAATACTAAATGAAGTTTTCTTTCACAAAACCCACTGATTTATTTTCCATATTTTATACTATTTACAATTTTGTTTGAAGGCATGATAGAAAGTACATTCATTTTCATCGTTAGCGATGTGTAAAATTTGCTGCTATCACTCCTATTACTAGACATTTTTATTGTAGAGAACAGAAGGTAATTGGTAACTTAGGCAGGCCACAAATCTTTCCTGGTAGCACTGTATCACTCACAGTACAATTATTGCAAAAATTAGTTAATTCAAGATGAATATTATGTTCCTTGGGTCTTGGCATAAATCTCTCCAAATTTTACATGCATTATTGCCATCAAGTCAAAAGATGAATTTCTGTCAGCCTACTTGACTAAGTGTGCTCCTGATTTAGATGATGATCATTCTAACACCTCTTCTAAAAATGATGTATGTTGCCTATTAAGTCCACCAGAAAGGACTTTAAATGGCCAAATTCAATAATATTGGTCTAAACTGTAACGTCTATTTACCTTCCTAGGATTGTAAATCCTCAACTACGTGGTGTTTCCTACTTTATAATCTTTGCGAATGATAACTAATGAGAGTGTAGTCCTTATGTATTGTTGAGACTCAGAATTATGTCTTTCTGTACATCTGAGATGCTCTTTATCGTTAGTATTAAGGAAATAAGGTTCAAAACTTTTCTAAAAAACACATTTTCTCAATATTATCTGAAAGAGTGCTTCTGGATTTGATATAATGGTTTCCCATTGCAACTTATTGCATTCATAAGCTTATACATAATTCTTGTACTTAAAGAATTGTAAATTCCTATCATTCTTCTTACATATTAGAGCTTGGGGGAGAAGCTAATAACAAATGAATGTTTGTTTCAGACAAAATGTCTTTTTCATTCTCTTCTGCTCTGGGAAAACAGTTTGAGGTATTGATTATAGCACCCCAAAACTTCAGATGGTCTTTGCAGCCCAGAGAAGTTCTGCTCATGGTTTCTGGGGCTCAATGCCTTAATATTGTCTGTTTATGTCTGGGATTTGCAGTAACAAAGATTTTTCCATCCTCTGCTGGCAGCACAATTGAGTCACTTGTAATAGATAGGAGACATTTTGCTTTGAAAGAAGCGTAGACTTAAAGTGAATCTCTCCCTACTGTGGTGGCTCATATTAAGGAATTGTGTGCCTTTGACTTGAGGCTTTGTCTTAACAGCATCCTGTTAAGATATTTTGAATAAACACACCAGTAACAGCATCCTCTGGGTATTCACGTCTAGTATCTGTATACAGTTTTCAGTGGGGAAGTTTCATCCTGTAGAAGTGACATGGCCAATGCTATTTTCAGCTCAGTTTGAATTATGTCAGGATGCTGAAAAAATGCATTTTCAAGAGAAGTGTTTTGTACTTGTCTTTGTGAAAACAAACCACCACAGCTGGTAAAGTTCAAAATTTACCCTCTTCACTAAGTCATAAAATGTTTTTTGTTTTTTACTACTACAATTTTTCTCTTTTGTTGAATTTGGACTGAGAAAAAGAATAGAGAGCAAGCTACAGATGGGCAGTACCTATAATCTCCTATAATGAACACGTACCCATGTATTTGACTTAAAAGAGATTTCTATCAAGACCAGTTTTGTTCTAGCAGAGGAAGTGAAATCACACACATCATTGTAAAAACTTCCATATAGGAAGATGCACCTATGAACACAAAAGCTGGGGTAAAAATTTCAGCATCCACTGGCAGAATGTATATGCAAAGTAAAAGTGCAGGAAGATTCATGAGACAATTCTTTGCTATTATTTTTTTTTTCAGTAGAAAAAAAAGTGCAAACATGCGAAACTGTTAGGGTTTTATGATGTGGAATACTGGAAACAAATCATAACATAATATAGTACACTGGGAGCTAAAGAGTTAACACTCTACATCCATGGATTGTTGGTAGTTCTGGGTATATCTTTCTCAGAAGAGAATAAGAACTACAAATTTCATTTCCATTTTCCATTTAGAGGGAAAGATTAAACTGACTGGGAGTCAAGAGACTGCTCTTATTTTTCTGCTAGTCTCTGCAGTGTGTGCTCCCTAGCCATCTTGCCTTCAGTGTTAGAGTAAGACCTTCAGTTTTGGACACTCTCTCATTTATTTCATTTATTAGCTTAAATTCCAAATATATTGCATTATGCTGTGCTATTGCACATTCTGCTACAATATTTAGTAAATTAGTATTGCCTCTTAGGTCATTGCTGCTGTTTTGTTTTTAGGCCCACTTCCCTATGTTTTTTCCTATCCCATTCTCTCTCTCCCAGGGTGTGGGTCTATGGGTCCCTCCACCCATGGAACCCACTCATGGAACTGGGCCATGGAATTGGTAAGAAAAACTCATGAAGTATAGCTGGAAAAGGATTGAGTATGTAATTTGGGGGAAAAAAAGCAACGTAAAGAATGGGAATTCAGATTCTTGATAACAACTGTTTTGGAAGTGCTTGATCTCTTCATTAGTATTCCACTAATTCTATTAAAATATGCCATTATTAGACTGTATGATCAAACTGCATGGAGCACTGCATGCTATATTTAAATGTATGAATTATGTGTATGAGAGAATATAAAAAGATGAAAACATACAAGGTTATGAAAATTATTAAATCTAGTGAGAACATTCTATTCATTTAGAGAGCTAACTGTAGCACAGATGAGACAACTAATTGCAAAACCTTGAGCTAACAGGCAAAGAAAAGCTGAAGGCAGAAATCAGCACAGTAAATTATGCTTCTTGTGACAAATGTCACAAGTTGTAGAAGTAAATTGTACTTGGAAAAGCAAGGCAAATGCAGTAACAGTTCATAATAAACTGTGATAATTTATCCCCACAGCATGAGAAAAGAATGACAAGAGTACCACTGCATATATGAATACTCAGAGAAGGAGTGGGTAGTTGCAGACAAATTTGGAGGCCGGTGCTCAAGTCAACATGATGCCAGGAAATATTAATGTAGGAGAAACGCTGGCAGTGTAAGGTAAGTGACTAAAACTGAAGATTTTGCATACATGAAGGCTTATTATAGTTAGCCAAGGCATCATATAAAGTGATTACATGAGTAAATAGCAAATATTTAAAGATTCAGCTCTTCAGATTACATAGAATAAGATGTATAATTCATTAAGACGTTACATTTTGAAAGACAAAAACCTAGAAAAACTGAAGTAAATATTAAAAATGTGGAAACGTGTCAGAAATCAGGAGGCTTTTTAAAGAGAACAGAATAAAAGAGGAAAAGTCTTGAATTCATTCAAAAAAATTCATGATCTTTGAAAAATAAAAGTCTCTGGAGTTTTCAGGACCAGGATGTGATCATTAGATAAGATACTGAGAAAGATAGACAAAAATCATCAGAGAACCAAAAAGTGAATGGAAGAGTATCAAAACATAGGAAGATTTGAAGACTTGTCACTTGAAAGAATAAAAGTGGAATTCAGCAAAATGTCCATGTTGGTAACACAAGAACAGAACAGGTTCAAAAGAAACCTATTTTCATGTCTGTGAAATAACCTTTGCAGAATGTACTACAATTAAGCAGTGTTTACACATCTCCAGTTTCTATAGAGATTGTATACTTCAAACAATAAAATCATACAATTCAGTGATAATTTATTTGGCAGTGAGGTTAAGCATTCTGCAGTTAAATTTGCATACACATGTATTACTAATAGTCTGCATTGTCACATTTCCAATCATTTGATGAAAGATGAAGTCTAAGTATTAAGTACGATGTATAATCACAAAGAATTTCCAAGCTGAGGTGGCTGAACTGCAGGACGTATTTCTGCTAAAATGGTCCATGTTGCTAATCTGATTGTTGCCACCATTTAGAAACCCAGAGGTTCATTTAATGCTGTATCCCAAGCATTTTCTGAACTTTGCTTGCTCCTGGACTTTTTTTTTATAGCTTGAGAATTCAAAGTAAATTAAAGTTTATCCTGCTAATATTTGAATCGAATCAATTGCAAGTGGAATTTGAGCAGCTGACCCAAGAAAGACACTCATGAAAGAGTCAAGCTTAGAGAGTGGAAATATGTCGTTGGATGCCAATAATGAACATTTAAAACAGCAATACTTAATATCACAAGAAATTAAGTGGTTGTTTTTCTCTACTTTTTGTCTTTGTATGACAAAAACATCCCTATTTGCTTCTAAGTAATAAGGCTGTTAATCTTAGAAAGTATAGACTGAGAAGCCTCTTAATTCATATAATCTGTATATGCAGAGAAAAATAAACTACTGTCTGATAGGAATATTGTGTGCTAGGTTCAATTTTTGTCATTTAATACAAGCTTTTTAATGTTTTACATCCTTGAGACACAGTTCCATTCTATTAATTCCACTACTCAAAAGATTTGCTAATATCCAGAATAAATTCCAGCTGCTTAATCCCAATTTCATCTTTGTATTCAACCCCATTGCTCTTGACGTCTGCAGCAGTATTTTCAGCTCCTTATTGTAACTTGATTAGATGCTGCTAATACTGAGCACAAAGCCTGCAAGAAATAGCAGCCCCTGTGCTTCTTCAGACATGCACCATGTTTCAGATTCCTCGGGGTAGTGACAGTTGATTGCTATAGCACTCTCAGATGCCTTTCTCTTTGTGCTTTGAGGCTTTCCCTGTTTTGTGTCTGTGGCTCAGTCAAGTGAGAGGAATGCCTTCTCCAACATGCAGAGTTTTCCAGTGGCTCAGATGAAGCTGATGAACAAACATGCACTGCAGGGTAAACTGTGTCTTTGCAAATATATGTCAGGTTTTGTTCACTTTCATGTGCAGAAGCAAAAGATGAAGTGACAGACTGGCTAGATACTCAAAATGTGCTAATTTTCTCTACAGTCTGAATCAGTCAAAGCAGGCAGGAGAAAAACTGCAGTCAGTTGTAACAGAAATACTACAGACCTAAAGCTTGTGGTGTGTTTATTCAAACACCTTCTTTAATGTTGCACAGCATAAAATATATTGAAATTTATGACATGTTTTCTTCCCTAAGGGTCAAAAGTATTTTGTATTCATGAACTATTTCAAAAACTAAAAAACAACCTTTCTGAGGTGAGAAATGAGAGCTGTTTAAGGCAGGTAGCGAAGGAAACTGCTGTATCTAGATAAAATTGAAGGTTTATTCAGTACTTATTAACTTTTATACAGTATTGAATGCGTATTCATGCGCAGTAGAAATCCAACATAACAGAAGGCGCATTTTAGTTTTAAAGAAAATTGTTGATCAAGGCCAAAAAATATTGATTTGGAGATTCCTAGATCATCAATAGACTTGTCAATGGTTTGCAGGCTGGTTTCGCCTGGTTCCGTGACTAACGGGGCAGAGGGATTTCGCAGATCCACACCTCTGGAAAAGGGAAATAGGGGACCCCAAAATAATTAAAAGCAGCGGCAACGATCTGAGGAGAAACAAACAAATTTACTAAGTATGGTATTAGAATGCAAGATAACACAATATAATGCTATATAATTAGAATCAAAGCTAATAAATATAATGAGAGAAAGTGTCCGAAAGGTGGATAGACCTCAATATAACACTGAGGTGAGATGCAGAAGGGAGGAGAGCCTGACAAAGAAGGGCTGTCCGATGACCTACCAAGGCTTGTATCTGTTCCCCCTGAGCAGGAATGATAACAGAACAGCGAACAGTCTTCTGGGGAACATAGCTGTTGTTCTCTTCGGGAACAGGTCCCCAGAACTGGAGCATTAATACTATAACTCCCAGTGCAGCACTACATAATGTTATGATTTTTGGTTATTGGTATTCCACATCATAAAACTATGATAAGACTGTAATGAGTTCTTGGCATCTTGCAAATGCCAGGCTACTTCCCTACCACCAGTTAGAATCAAGATTAGGAATAAATTAATAAATAACAGCAGAAAAAAAAAAAAAACCAACCTCAAAGCTGGTTGTCTTTCAACTATCGCAGCTTTCCTGTTCGAATTAGAAAAATGAAAATACAATTTGTTTTACTTGTCCTGGATAGTCGAGCTGTTTACTTTGAATATTTTTCATTAACTTAGTTATTCAGATAGTATAGCATATCAGAAGTATATCAACATCAATTAACCCTAGAGACATTACTTATTGCCTCTCTGAAGATTAGTAAATATTGTGTCCTGATTTCTAACTTCTTGACCCATTTCTATTCCACTTCCAGCCTCTGTGACCAGTATAGATAGACGAGACATAATAAGGAGTATCTAATGGAAGTTCAGCGAATGTGGTGGCAATAACAGTGCATCAAAGACTGCTTTCTTATGCTGACAGAACAGGAGCAATCAGGTAGGAGAAGCTCTCAAGTTCACCTCTTCTGTGGAAGTATTTTACTAGTTGCTACAAAATGTGTTGAAAACAATTTTTGTGTTTTGGGGAAACTGGATTGTATCTTAAACTTATGTTTGCGGTGATTGATTCCTCTACCTGCTTTAATAAAATGAGCTAGCTCCGCTTCATATTTTGAAGTACATTATCTTGGTTTTTTGTCCTATAGATATGCAGCTAATAAATTGATCATGGGAAGAAGTTTATGCTTGATACTGGAGAGAACTTGTTAGGAGAGAAGAGAGCCTTAATTTGGTCCTAGAGAAGCTTCATTAGTATAAATAGTATACTTGTAGTATAAGTGAAAATTTGACAAAAATTGTTTAAACGATGGATGTGGATTAGACAGTCTATGTTCAATTTGCTAGTGCCTAAAGACTGCTTAATTTCTTTGTAAATGTGGTGGTGTTCACAGTAAAGCTATTGTCCAGCCTCCCCGCCTTTTTTATGTTTGGTATTGTCTTGGCAATTTTAACGAGTAATTTTAGTAACTTTAACATTAATAGCAAATATTTTTGCTATTAATCTAGAGAGCTTTGGCTGAAGGTCTAATACTCCATTATGGGAAAACAAAAACAAAAAAGCTTTAAGAGTTTTCAAAACCCTTTATTTCAGAATCTAGTTGAAATATTTTCATTGTGATGTAGAAGACAGGGCAGCAGTTCTTGGCATGATATAGTCTCAAAACAATGTAGCATGTTATGATGATTAATGGAGTTCTTTTCCAACCTTAGCGATTCCATTCTAAGATAATCTAGTCCACCTAGCACCAATATTTCCCCACTAAACCATGTCCCTTAGTACTACATCTAAACACTTCTTGAACAACTCCAGGGATGGTGACTCAACCATCTCCCTCTAGGCAGCCTATTCCAGCTCCTGACCACGTTTTCAGAGAATAACTTTTTCCTAATGATGACCCTGAATAGCCTATTTAGCACAAGCTATAAAGGCTGAATTTTGATTTACCACAGATTTACCACAATACGACTGGCTGGTACTGCACTGCACAATTGGTCTCAGGATGTTTCATAACCAAATTATAGTAGGCTAACCTTGTTCATTTATGCTACACTGCTACTAGATTTCAACACGTGGCTTTTAGATGCATGCCTTTTTTCCTCCTACTTTCTTTCCTGTTTCCCTACTACGACTCTCATGTGTCCATTCTACTTTTGCTGCTCTGCACATAGTGAATATATTTAATTAAGTTCACTCTGCTCAAAGTACAGGGCTCAGCTAGACTATCGCAGAAGCCTTTTGAAAGGAACAACTGAATGCTGCCATCCTGTATTGTACTCTGCTAGGACACATACATTTATGTATGATGGCTATGATTTTTGTCATAGTTCATTCTTCCTCTTTTAATCTTTCAATATAGACTTCTGATCAGATCCTTCTTCACTCTTACAGTTAGCAATTTATCTACCTTCTTGTGGCATGTGGATTATTGTATACACATGATGGTAGCCTTAATTGTTATCCATGTCTAACCATTTTATAGTTTGAAATCTCTTGTTTTTTGTCTTGGTTGTGCAAGTGTATTCACATATTCACTAAGCCAAATGTACTTTGTATTCAGAAAAATTACATAATACTTATTAGAAAATACATTATTTTAAGCATGAAATGGAAAATGAACAAGTTGCCAATTAACACTAATATATATGAGATCACAAATGCCAGCAAATTGGTTCAAGATGTTGAATTATTAGCAAAGTAATACTTACTGGACAAGAGCTGACTGGAAGCAAATAGTAAGGGACTTGCTGTTAATTGATTTTAGAGAAACTCTTAGTACACTAAATGGAGTTATTCCTCCAAAACCCCATACTGTAAACTGGGCAGGCCTGTTGTATGAATTTTTATGTGTGACTTACGGGAAGTTCAAGTGATCACTGCAGCAGTCATAGTGCCTCTTTTAGCACTTTTATTTGATTTCATCTGCTCTGGTTGTGAAACACTTTGCTTCCAAGGGCAAAAGGATTTGGAACATTATTGAGTGTGAGGTAGGAATAAGAAATGCAAAAGAAAGTTTTGGAAAATTTTGGTTAAGTAATCCCACAACAGGAAATGACAATTATTCCTTAAATCATTAACTCAAATTTCCCCGAAGCATTCAGTTTGCTTAATATACCACCAAATAATCAATTAAAAAAATCAATAATCTATCAAAGTTAACTAAAATAAAAATGAGGGAAATTGTTAGGAACATTATAAAAATCAATCCCTCCTGCATATTTCTTTTTCTGGCTATTCTGTTACATCAATCTTGCATATGCTGTCTAATAACAGGAGTATCATAGGAATAAAAATGGGAAAATTATTTTTAATATCAATTTTTTCTTTTTTTCCAATGAATCATCTAATACTTTCTTAAATAATGTTAATGGTTAGCTGAGATCATTTCTTTGAGGAGTTTACTTCACATCTGGAAACTTTCACTGAAAGGAAGTATCCTTGCAGCATTTAACCTCAGTATTTCTCAAAGTTTTAATGAGAATTTTTAGCAAATACTTTTAATCCAGAGAAAAGCAATCAAATTCTTAGTCTGATTTCACCTTATTTGCTAATTGGACTAAACTTTAAGGAGACTGTTTTCAGTTTTCATGCACTGTTTGTAGTGCATGCATAATTTAGTACTCAATCATAAGTAGTAGAAAGTACATACATTTTATTCAGAATGAAACTGGTTTATCGTATTATCCCTTTAGCATGCACAACTGAATCATTCTGGTCCTGCAAATCTAACTTGCCTTACAAAATTCTGTTTGCAATATTAAAGCAGCACATGGAGTAAATAGTTCAGTTAGTGAAAGATGTTCAAGGTGCAGTCTACAAATGGTCTAACTGTACTCTGTTGGAAGAAAAAGAACAAGGTGAAAACAAAAGCTGCTATTTTTATTGGGCATATTTTAATTTTGTCTGCTGTTCTGCCACATTCTGCCAGCTGCTGAGTTTCTGTTTCAGTCATTGTTGAGATGAATGAAATGATGCTTTTTTAGCTTTTGGTACAAAGAAAATAATTCAAGCAGTGCTTCACATAAATGTTTGTGCAAATCCCAAAATGTCTGATGTACTAAGTAGGAGTCTGGCATAAAAATACACATTTATAATTTTAAACAGACAAACTTAACTCTGCTATGCCCATATAGCTGCCTCAGATAACTCTGTCTAACCAGTAAGTATACGAGTGAATTTGTGATGAACAGTTTAAAAAACCGCTAGAATTTTACTGTTTATTTTCCTGAATCATGTAGTGCAGAATGTCACATGTCATGTGCTGCACAACAAATCCTGGTGATGTAAAGAAAAGAATAAGAAGATATTTGCTACTTTCCAGTGCTATAGTGAGGAGATCTCTGATCTCAACTTTTCTGTAGCTATACGCTCCCGATCTGGTTATATCACATCATTTGACAAAATTGGAATCAGATAGGAGTTTGATAAGGCAAAAATACTGAGACTTGAGTATTGAAAACGATGTATTCACAATGAATTAGTGCACAAGAACTCTGACCTACTTCCATTGTCTTCATTGTGCCACCAATATTTCTGCTTTTTTGTGAAACCTGAAGTGAGTATTGTGTGAACCTGAGAGATATTACAGTACAGGACTAAAATCACATGAATTCCATTTCGAGTTGCTGATCTTAATAAACATTAAATCATGCAGTACTGCTAGTCCTATAGCTGTGATTTTGGTTCTCTGCTTTTTACCATGTAAAAGTATTTTTGACAACCTCTGGAGACAAAATAATAAAAACGAAAATTTGCTTTGGATTAGCAGATGCCCTTTCCTGGGTGAGGCTTTCTCTGTAGGGGCCTTTTGCCATGAATGTGCTTCCCCCTCCTTATGTCTATTGAACATACATTTCTAATCAATTTTTAAAGAACATTATAAATGCATGTGTTGGCAGAACTCTGAGTAGACGTGATAGGAAATGGACCAATGAGTTGTAAAGGACAGGGATGAGAGAGCTTCTGTTACTGATCGTGGCATTTTTATAATAACCATACCTGTCATTAATTTTTCCATGCTAATATTTTTTAATGTGTTTTGATTATTTCTCCAGTGTTTACGCTGCACTCTTGTTAATATTTAGTATGGTGTTACATATGTTCATGATTTCCAAAGCCTTCAGTTACTGTCTTACACACCAGTGCTTTGCAAGCTTATAAACATTTGAAGCCTTAAGTGAAGATTTTTCTGAAATTCAGGTGCTTGCTAGAACTCTTTCTTGATATTTGATGCTGGGTTTTTTGTTTGTTTGTTTTGATATTTCCACTTGGGAATGGACATCAAAAGCATGTCATAAATGTCATTCCGAAGAAAACTGAGGACTTGGGATTCTGCATGGAGTGGAATCCTCAGTCCTTTGACTACAGCAATATTACGTTACCTGTTGCTTATTCCCAGCATGTAGTGTGATATGCTAAACTCGGTGAAATTTATCTATGTGACATCACAGTTTTTGTAATTAATTAAATACAGCAAATTATCTTTACAGCTATATACTGATTATTGCTGGTGACTAGTGACTTTCTGACAAATTGTGCTAGAAATTGGTAGGGAATAACAAATAGCAATTAATCTCTGGTGTCAAGTGATGATGATTCATCTCTGCTGATTGCTGGAGTGCGGTTAGTAATAGCTTGAAACTGACTCGCAAACGAGCATTTTGTGAGAACATTCTGGGAATGTGTTTCAGTGATAGATTGTTGTTGCCATATTCTGGCTGATTACCACTGAGTGCTATTGCACCACTGCCAGGGATTAATAGTGATTGCTGTAGACTTTCGGAGGTAGAGTATAAAAAATACCTGCTAGTAAGCATAAGTAAAACAGTTTGGTAGAAAGCCAAACGACAAAAAGACTGCAAAACAACCATGGCCCTTCTGTCTACTACTCTGTGTAGGTTTACACCAAGTGATGTTGATTGTTGATATTAGAAGTCAGGACAGTTGGGAAGGTATTAGCTGCTGGGAAGTGGAAAGGAAACATCCTCTTCTGAAAAAAAAAAAAGCGCATAAATGTTCACTCTAGCTATCATATTTTCTGTTACAGTGAGAGTAGTGTGTTCCTTGTTGCTGAGGGACGCTTTCTGCCTCTTCCCTTTGCCCTTTTCATTGCAGATACACTTTATTTCAGAGTGAAAAATTTCAAATGTCCCTTTGTTAATAAGGAGTCTTATGATGGGTCTGCATGATATAACTTAATCACTAATAAGTAATTAGTAGCATCAAATACTAAGATTTAAGTCATCAGCTGTCTTTCTTTTATTGAGGTGATCCAGCTAGTTTTTGATTTTCAGGAGAAACACAAAATATGTAGGGCCAGATTTAAAGAATTGCGGAACTGACTCTTGGTTGTTCCTACAGTCAGCACTCTTTGAACTCTGCTTTAGTCATGGACAGGTGTTGT